AAATTGTGGCAGAAATTGTAGTAGAAAAATGATAGAAAAGTGGCAGAAATCACAATTCCTTCTTTATATTTACAATATTAGTGAAATAAAAAATATATATGATGATTTCTTTGATAAATTACAAATATGGCAGTATTTACATTGAAAAACATGGTTATAAAACATCACCACTTTTTGTATGAGGAGGTTAGATAAATCTATTGATTTTATTGATTGATAAATTACATCTGATAATATATACTATCAAATACATTGATAAAATACATATATTACCGCAATGAAAGTGGGAGGATGTTTAAAAGATCAATATTGCTGTGAAAACTATCTATACTATCTATTTGATTGCTTAATAATTAAGTCTAACTAGCTAGCTTACTTCATTATTATTATAATTCTCAGTAAAATATTCATTATACTGCATTCACATCTATGTAATGATATTATCTCACTTTTTCATCATTTCATCATTATTTTTTTGTTGAATTCTTACAATTTCTCTTGTTTTCTTCTCATTAATAGAATTCTCATCATCTTCAGCAATCTTATTCATTTTCTTATACTAATTCATAAAGTTATTAACTGCTATCAATATAAAAATCAAATGAATCTAAATAATTATAAAGAATCCATCTTGAGCTTGATTATATATTTGAAACTGTCATTTAAACTGTAAGGCGAAGCCGTACGAAGAAGCTCTTGGGCATGCTATTCTTATTCTTTGTCGTCGTAACTCTAAGATATGCTGTGCAAGCGGAAACAAGCAGGAGGTGAAGCCCTGTGCGTAGTCATGTGACTACGCGTATGATGGAGCGAAGGCGTGGCACTGCGTGTGGCAGGGCGTAGCATAAACACTTCAAACACTTGCTTGATTACATCTCACAAACTGATATAATGAAGATTATACAACTCTGAAACATTGACAGATTGAAAATTCGTTTTTTTTCATTTTTTTAGATGATATTAAACTTCTGAATATGAAATCAACATCAAATTAGATCTTTGTGAGTAGTCAGCATCTGTTAAAAAGTGGCAGAATTCATTAAATAATGTCATTTCAAATTAATTTTTTTTTATATCTGCACAATAACCCAGCTATCATAAGAAGATCCTTTCATTCTAAGATAGATATATAAAAAGTTTATATCATGATCACAGATAGTTAGAACATTTTGAAATATTCAATCTTTTCAGTTTTACCATACAAATTGCTGATTTAATGAAATAGAAATAGATAAATGAATGTCATTCAAAGCTTCAATACACTTTTTAAAAAACAGTCAATAATATGGATTTAAACTGAGAGCTTTCTTGCTATATTCCATTAGAGATTCAGGCAATTTGATATAATACTCATAAAATACACAGAGTGATTTCAAAACCTCATGAAACACTCTATAAAAATCATTATTATAACATTTTTAATAAGTCTATTTATTTATTATTTTTACTATATTTATTTGAATATTGTGTTTAATGAATGATGAAACATCTCTGCAGTGTTCTGATAGCTCATATTTTGAATTGTAATATGCAAGAATATAAAAAGCTTCTGCTTGATTTTTATGATATGTAATGCTTCAGATTCACAGATATTGATATTCATTCTCAGTCAATCAATCAGTGCAATGAATGTATTAACGCTTATCTATGTCATATTCTTTATACACAGTGGGTGGGAATCGGGATTCAACAACTATATGGTAAATTGCAAATCATGGAATGAATCAGAATACATAAATTGTATATTTGATGAGATAATTGAGATGCTCTGATAGATCACTTCTGCAGCTGCAAGCTTAATTAATTGCTGTCTATAATATAAATATGTGGAAGGTGTAAAGCTTGCTTGATTGAAGGATTGCTAGCTACGTGGCAAGTTATATGGTGGAAGGATTACTAAGCCAGGGCAGTTGACCTGACAAAATACTGTTGTACTGCTTTCTGAGTTGCATTATCTCTATTGCTTACCATGATTCTTGATTTTTATGCTATTGTTGAGTGTCGGGCCGGCGTATAGCCACTGTGGCATTCCGCCTCTATTCTTACCGTCCACTCTGCTCCTTT